ATGGACTCTGTCCTCAGTGACATGGACTGGTCTAGAAGAACCATTAGGGGATGTGAGGTCGTTCAGGTTAGCACAGTGGTGGGAGGAAGGAGGACAGAGGCTGAGGGCTGGATGGGTGGGGCAGTGGAGCAGGGAGGACAGCAGGGCAGGGCCACCACCCTGTTTTTTTTTGGCTCAGGTGAAGGATGGATTGGTGGTGAAGGGCAGGGATGTAACATGTGGCAGCAGGAGGGGCAGGCTAGTTCCAGTGTGGGCAGCAGGAACTCATGGATCTGTCACAGGGAGAATGGTTGGGGGAGAGGGGGTCGTCAGAGGCACATCCGGGCATCACTGGTGTGCAGGATGGGTTGAAGGTCTCACATGAGTGAAGGTTTCTCATAGGGAGTGGGTCACTGAAAAGAGATGAGGATCCCAGGGTAACAGCAACACTAGAAGATGAGTCAGAGTGGGACAGACTCACCGTCCATCCTCCCCGACCCCCTTGCTCTGAGGTTCTGCTCAAAGCCTCACCCCAACAGAAACGCCTTCACAGAAAGCTCAGCTGGTACCTGCTGTGGGAATGGGCCTTCCCCTATTATCCCGACCGTGAGCCAACTTGGGTTGGAGCTGGTCATGCTGGTGCCAGCACCACATGGAAGGCAGGACACACTCTCGTGGCACCATTACTCCTGTGTGAGCGTAGGAGCTTGGTGTTCCCAGGCCCTTGCAGTATGCCAGCACGCAATGGGTTTCTAACAAAGTGACTTTTAATGCCATCAGACTTTCTCTCTCTCTTTAAAAAAGTGGTGTGCATACAAAGAAGAAAGCACTAAATCTCCCCCAGTCCAAACACTCAGAGTTACCATCCAGTGAACGCCACTCCAAGTTCTTCTATGTGCATATTCAGAAAAAAAAGAAGCACCTGACTGGAGGATGGATGGATGGATAGAAGAAAGCAATTTTATAAAAATATGATCATACCACATTTGCTATTTCAAAATGAAAAGCATGAAATTTAATCTTACTAGAATTTAAGAGAAAGAAGCTGGAATAAAATGAAAGAATTGTTAGCCTGTAGATAAACGTGAATGCATCACAAGAGATATTAATCCCTAAAAGATACCTCTCACGGGGTGGAGAGGTGGAGAATAAAACCCATTAAAGGCTTAGAGTTCTTATGCTGTGCTTTTTTTAAAATGACATTTCCATTTTTGATGCCATGAGTTGATTACTGGAGACATTCTTAGTAAGTACCCACCCAGCTTCCCCCTCCTCCCACCCCCCCAACTTTGATGGCTTAAGTTATTTTTACTTGACAGGTTTTAGAACATTTACTTCTGTTCTGCAAGCAGCATTCACCTGGCTGTTACTCCTAGCTCTGCTCTTGAATAGCTGCGAAGATCGTCACCCCTCATGTTCCCCGAGGTTCTAAAGAACTGAGTTGGTTTTTTCACCTCTGGGTTGGCAGGGTTTTGTCACTGAGCACTACATTCAGGAAGAGCTTGTGAGAGCTTCTTTCCCAAGTTCTTGGAAAACTGGCTTTAATCTCCAGCTGATTGGGCTGGGTCTCAGGTCATGTGCTCTGCAAAGTGCATCCTGTGATGTGGTGGACATCTCTCCTTATGTTTCCTTCTGTTGCTTTATCTTTTTGTTGGGGGTTGGCAGACCTGGTGACTAGCATCTCTTCTTTCAGTCCCTAAATTCTGAACCAACTGAGAAACAAGATGAAGAGCTGATATCAGAGAAGAGACTGAAGATATACTGAACCCCGGAATAAAACAGGCAGGGCTGGAGCTCTGTCCACAACTTTTGGCATGGCGGGGCAATGCTTCCATGCGTCCAAGGAAAAGGAGGCGGAGATGTGGGCTCTGAGCAGCCCAACTTCCCCTTCAACTCACTGATCAGACTTTCTTCCACCTCCAGTGCCCAAGAGCAAGGGCGGCGTGGAGCTCTCTCCATATCCAGACTTAAGAGAAAGAGAAGCACGATCAGCCCTATTGTCTGACTTCTCAATTTCTTGAATTGAGATTTTTAGGAAATTTCATCTACAGCATGAAGTACTCTGGGGAACTCTGCTTCTGCTTCTCAGGGGATGTTTCTTTCCAAACAGGTTTCTTCATTGGTGCAAATGTTGCAGAGAAATTGTGAGCCAGTGACGTTGGATGACCTTGTATGATCTTAGTTAAAAAGTAGACATTTACTCTTAAGTGGTGGGTCAGAAGTCAGGCTGAGGGAGGTGAGGAAAGAGTGGGATTTGAAGAAATAAAGGCAGAAAGAAGTTCCAGAGCATTTCTAGGAGACTTAGTACATAAAGGAAGAGAAAGGGTAGTGTGCGAGACCGCAGTAATGTTTCCCGGAGAATTTTGGATCCAGGAAAGGCTCACATATGTCTCTGGGTGGACAGGAGGAAGTCAGAGAGGAGACGTTAAAGATGGCAGAGAGGAGGAATGGAGGGCGAGAGAGACGTGGAGGAATGAGGCTTCCGGTAAGGCAGGAGGGGTGGGCAAGCCATGGTGGAGAGGAGAACACTATCTTCTGGAAGTGGCCAAGGCGAACACACAGGCTCACAGGAGAGGGCAACAGGACTCCCCGAACCCCCGTCTTTCTGGGTCAGAGGGGGCATGGCTGTCAGCAGGGAACCGTGGGAAGGATGGAGGTGTTAGAAAATTGTCAGTACCACCAATGTCGTGGCATCAAGGGCTACACACCCATGAAGAGGCCAAGAGGCTGGTGCCAGGCCCGTGGTGGGGTCTCCCCATGTCACCTGCTTTGCACCCACCTCATTCCCTGCTCTAGCTGGGCCTTGCTGCCAGATCCCAGGATGCCCCCTGGTGGCTGGGGTCGAGAGAGCAACTGAAAGGCCTGTCTGTCACAGATTTCTTGCTTTGTTTCTGAAGATGCAAAGAAAGAAATCATGCATTGCTATCCACTTCTAGACCAACCCTCATCCCAATGGAGAGGAGGCTGAGACTGGGAGTGGCTCCCAAAGGTGTTAAAGCCCCGAACTCCAAGCCCTATTGAGGACAAGGGCCTGGAACGTGGGGCAGATGCTGTCGCAGCCTCTGCTCAGGTACTGCCCCAGCTTTACTCATGTGGTTAGGGCACCTGAGTGCAGGAAAGGAAGACACCAACCTCATGGAGGGGTGGTCTTAGCACATGCACTGGAGGTCCCTGGAGCATGGTCACTGGTCTTTGGTGTTCATGTGTGTAGCTTCAACTGCAAGCATCATCTGTATTGTAGGCACGTCACCCACTCATCTTTTCATCTGTTTAATAAATAATTCATTGCCTCCCCACAAACCATGTGCCAGATCTGGCACTAACAACTGTGATACAAACCTGGGTAAAACACAAGTTCTGCCCTTGAGAAGCTTGGCCTTTTGGTAGAGAGATGTCAGGAGACAGCAACACAGAAAGGGACATGGCTGTGGAAGGGATTTCAAGTGCAAAGGCAACAGATAGACACTCAGACCAGGAGAGGTGGTAGTTCTTGGAAGAAGCAATATTTGGACAAGTCCTTTTCTTTTTGGCAATACTGGGGTTTGAATTCAGGGCCTCAATCTTGCTAGGCAAGCATTCTACCACTTGAGCCATAGCTCCACACTTTTTTGCTTTAGTTTATTTTTTAGATAGGTTCTCTCACTTTACCCAGGCCAGCCTCAGACAGTGATTCTCTTGCTTCTACCTGCTGAGTAGCTGGGAATAGATGTGTGCTGCCACACCAGCTTTACTTTTGAGATAAGGTTTCACTAATTTTTTCCCCCTGGTTAGTCTTGAACCTCTATCCTCCTATCTCTACCTCCTGAGTAGCTGGAATTATAAGCATATGCCACCATGCCTAGACTTAGACAAATCTTAAAGGACCATTTTGTATTTGAGAGGCAAAGGGCAGGGCTGGAGTGGTGTGGGGTGGGTGAGGTGAGAGACTGTGGCTGGGGGACATCCACAGAAGATGTCTAGTGTGTGACTGTATCAGTCTAACCTTGAAGAGAAATCCCAGGCTGGAGAGGTAGACCATCATAGGCTGGTGATGGTTAAGGTCACAGCCTGCATGCCATGACCAGGAAAGACCCCTGAGGGACCCTAGCACTCAGGAGCTGGGCAGAAGAGGAGGATCATGAAGAGGCTGAGAAGGGAAGATCAGGGAGGCGGGTGAGAGAATGAGGTAATGAAAACCCAGGGTGGTATTCCCAGACGGGAGGAGCCAGCAGTACCCAGTGCTGCAGGAAGGCCCATGTGATGAAGAATGTCCCCCACATTAGCAGTAGGAAGGTCATTGTCAGGAGCAATTTCAGTGGCAGTATGGGTTGAAGTTAGCTCTCAGAGGGTGAGGAGTGAAGGGGGCTGAGGCCTGTGTGAGCTGGGAAAGCTGTGTTCTGTTTGTTGTCTGTCAGGTGCTGGATGCCCATACTCTGCGTGTTAGTTTCTCACTATGTATCTGTGTGAGCCTCACCTAACCCAGGGGTTCCACTTTCATATCTCCTGTCCCTCTCGGTGGGCTTCCTTGATGGTAGAGGGTGACAGAGCTGCTCAAGGGCACTTAGGGCTCCAGATTCTCAGTCAAGGCCTCCAGACCATTGTGAGGCCATGTTTTGGGGAGCAAGATGGCAGCATTTGAACTCAGGCCTCAGCTGTGACAAATCTAAGACCATGGTGTTTTGTCACTGAGATCCCACCAACTTCTATTCTCTCTCCTATACTGAGATGAGCACAGAATACTAGGGCTGACGAGGCCCCACATCTTAAGGCCAGCCCTCCAATAATCGGAGGGCCAACGTGGGACAGTGATTTGCCTGCATGCTGGCTGAGGGGTGCCCACGTGTTCTGACCCCAGTAGGCAGAAACTCTGCATGAAGCAAGAGGCCCAGAGTCCCGCGCTCAGGTCAAGAGGCCTAAGCAGCCAATGTACCTTAGAAAGTCAATCACAGCCAGAGACACACCAGGCCCCTCAATTGTCCATGGCTTCTCTTAGAACCCATCCTGGAGGCCCTCATGGAGCTGCATCTTCCCCTTCCCCACAGGTACCAAGGCCATGTCCCCGGTGTGGCCTTTGCCTTCGGCGCCTCCTACGGCACCAACACCTTCAGGTACTTCCAGGACCACCGCAATGCAGCCATGGAGAAGAACTTCACGTGCTTCAGCAGAGGTAGCAGCTTCCCCACCGTCTTCTCCTCCGACCTGGACCCTGGCGATACGTGGCCGATCGCACACCAGGGACCACTGGCTCTACCTGCCGAGCGACACCCACTTCAACCTAGACAGCGACGGCTACGCGTGAAACTTAGCTTCAATCACTTCTTACCGGCTGAGCTTGCCTCGCCCCCATCGGCTCCTGCCCACAGGCCAGGCAACGGCTGATGTCGAACCATAGTGGGGAGCCATCCACTACCAAAGCTGCGTTATATTTGCATTATGGTTCACGCAAGCCCCCCGGGGCAGCAAATTGGAACCCTTTGTAGGGTGATCCTTGGTCCTATGAGGAATGCTCAGACAAGCTCAGGAAATACTCTGACTCCTCTATTTTCCCCTGCCCTGGGACTACTGAAGCAGGCTCATTGTGTCCTGGCCTCCAATCCCACACTGCACGGGAGCTGGGCGCTTTCACGGCATGTTCTGGTCTCCTTACAGACTGTCCCTGAGTAAAAAGGCTCGAAGGGACTTATCACATGAACCCCTCCACCTGGGTCCAACACACCTACTTACCCACCGACCCTCGGCCGCCACTTCTCACCCCATCTCCAATGTACCCTCGAGGCGTCGACTACCCCGGTCCAGGCTCAGCCACTCGGGAGGTGCGGGCGGAGAGAGGTAAATGGGAGGTCACCACCCACACCCTATTGCAAATCTGCCTCTGGGCTTTTGACAAAAGCAAATAACGGATACCACCACAGACATCCACAGAGGACACTAGAGCCTGCCCTTGCTCTCCTTGCCATCGGAGCCTTGTTCTTTGAGGCACCTACTTTCTTACAATCATCCTCCCCAGCCGTGTCGGCTTGCCAATGCAGCCAATAGACAACCTGACCAGTTGTGCAGGTACCTGTCCTGAGGAAGGTCCAGAGCTTCCTCAGAGAGGGCAAGATGAGGTTGATTGCCCTAGGACATCCAAGTAGGGAGGTGTTGTGAGACACCATTCTCAGTGAGGTCTCTGTGGCAACCATGTCCCTCTCATCCTAGGCCTCTCACACAGATACTCCATCCCAGGGAGGAAGGAGAGGAGGCAGCAGATCCATGCCAAGCTCCCATTGTGTGTGTGCAGACAGAGGTATGCACACACTGACTGAACGGGGTTTCTGACCGGAGGATAACAGTGATTACCTGTCTCACTCATTAGATGCAGACGCAAAGCATGTGTGTGGTGTGTGTGTGGGGAGTCATTTTCTCCACTAGGCAGACATGGGTACCGGGAGACCAAAAAGTTACGATCAACTGATGGTAGCAGTTTGAGCCTTGGTGGGCTCCGGCAAGCTTGGGGACTTTCACCTTCAGGGGCGTGCTCGAAATTGAGGTGGAGACTGCCTACTCACCTGCCTAGGGTACGAGCCTGGAGAGCATGCAGATCGCACACTAATAAAAGACCTGTTGTCTCTATCCCGTGGTTCGGGGCGGTATATAGGCAGTGCAAGCGTAAGAGCATGGACAGACTTTCTACCGAGACAGACTGGCACTCAGACTGTACGCCTTGCGCTCCTTTCCTCCTTCGTAGACTGCCTGTGACGGGAGCTCGTAAGAACGACACCCCCTCCCCACCAACCTGTGAGTGTCTGCCCGCCATGCCATCAACAAACACCCATCCACACAGCACCTGCTCCCACAAGCGCCTGTAGAGCACCAGACTGACAAACCAGTTAATGACCTTGCCCTTGAGTGCCTGCAGAACTGACAGCGGTTACAGAGCAAGCGGCGCTGGGCGCTAGCAGTCTCTGGAGCGATGCCAGAAACCTGAATGGGCAGAATCAGAAAGAGCGCTTTCTCAGCCAAATGTGCTGGGACTTTGGGAGCACACCCCATAACCTGTGCTGGCTGGAATCTGCAGACTGCTCCCCCTGATAGGGTGGCCTTGAGGCTGCGTGGGTCCAAATGCCAAGTGCTGCTACACAAGGAGCTTCTGCCCTCTAGTGGACACACAGGGAACTACACCGAGCCAGGAATCTTCCCCAACCCCGCCCAGACTGAACCCTGTTTGGAAGGGTCTGGGAATGGATTCCCTCACCAGGGGCTTGAAAATATTTTGACAGTCCAACTCGTCAGCTGGCAAAATGTGAAAGTTCCTGCAGCCCGTCCCTCATGGCTGCTATTATCTGGGTGAGCTTCTTTTCCCAAGGAAGATCTGCTCTTCCCTCAAGATGACTCTTGTCGTGCCACACAGGCACTGGGATTACCTAGTCCACATCCTGGTGTCCTGTGGCTGGGGTAAGACTGTGGCTGGCACCTGGGCTTATAACCTCCCGGCTTATTCCTCACCCTGCTCTCTTAATCCTCTCTCTTGGTCTGGGGAGGTCAGTGACAGATTTTAGGATTCCAATCCTTACTTGCCTCTGAAGCCTTACCTTCCCCAGTCTGTCCCAGATAAAGCAGTAGTTGTTCCTATACAGTTTAATGAACTTTAAAGATGCAACTTTCCTGTCATTAAAAATACTTTTCTGAAAGACAGATGGGTCTGTTTTATAAATAGAGAAACTGAGGTCCAGTGAGCATCTCAGGGGCTGGTGCTGGGTGGCCTGGTGGTTGGAGGCTGGGCTTGGAAAGGGACCCAACTCGGAGACCATCTCCATCTTCCAAGTTACCACCTGCACTGTGTGAAACAGCTCTGCATCAGTGTATCCCTGGAGACAGAACCTCTCCTGGGGACAGGTCTCCTCCAGAAACCTTGCCAGGATGTAACCTTCCTCTAGCTGCAGGTCTCCAGCTCTCTTCTTTCTCCAAATTCCTCAGCAGTCTGTACTGCTAACAGTTTCATGATGGACAACAGAGGACTGAGTAGGTGGTCAGGCATAAGAGGGTCAGGGATCAGCTCTGTGGCCTGGGGAAAATCTCTCCCTTCTGAAGTTTCATCACCACCATTGCCACCACCACCATTATAACAGCCACAATCATCACAACCACCACCATCACCACCATTATCACCACCATCACCATCACCATTATCACCATCACCACCATTGTCACTGTCATCGCCATCACTATCATCACCACCATCACCATTGCCACTATCACCATTACCATTACCACCATCACTACCATTGCCATCGTCTTCATCACCATCACCCTCACCATCACCCTCACCATCACTACCATCCATCACCATCACTCAAGTGTTTGCTCCTTGTCCAGCATTGTGTCAAGTGCTTTATATGCATGACATCATTTACTACTCAAAGCAAAGCTAAGCGAGCAATAAGAACATCAATCCTTTGTTTTGTGGGTTCACTTCCAGCGGGAGACAGGACCAGAATTTATGCCCTGTCTTTCTGACAGCTGTGTCTTCACTCTTAACCACAGTACTGCTGTGCAAATACAAGTCAACTTTTCTCTTGTCAGGCACTCAGCAGATGTCACACTGATGAGCAGCCAGGGGGGCCAACAGGGCTAAAAGTGGGTGCAAGGGTCTATGGTCTGCATTCTTCACCCTCCCTCCCTGGCAAACTGCCTGATGATGGCTCCATCCTCCCCTCCAGGCCTCCTCTGAGCCCGAAGAAGAAGTGGCACCTTTTAAGAGTCTCCCCTGGCAATGTGAAGACCTACCAGACCTTCCCATCGGGGAAGAGGGTCTCCTTGCAAGAGCGTCAGAAGCGGGACTGCTACTTTGAGTTCAGAGCGTGAAACTGGATGGCTGGGAGCCTTGGCCCTGACAAAATTGGCACGTGTGCAATAAAATCTTTAGCCATGACCCCCTACATAACTCTCTTCTGGGTCCTAGGGACATGTATGTCACAATGGCAGGACAGTGCCCCTGGGATCAGTCAGCACCATGTCTTAAGAGCTTTTGGAATGCTCAGACCAAGGGATTCAAGCCGAGAGAAAAAATGCCCAGGGCGGGGCAGATGGGGCTGAGGAGTGTCAGGCTCCCAAGTCTTCCCAAGTGTCACTTAGGTATGGAGACCACTCATCTGTCTCCACTGGGATAATGGAAGAGGCCTGAGTGTCCCATGTCTGCTGTACTGAACAGCTGCAGTGGCTGTGAGATGGGAAGGAACTCTCAGGGGAGCCCTCGCTCAGCATCATTTGGTCTACATGACAACTTGTGAATAAGGTGCTATTACCCCCCACACTGATGAAAAGACATGGAGCTTCAGAGAGGTTTAGAAAGTTGCCCAAGCTAACAGAGAAAGATGTGACAAAGCTAGGTTTAAACTCGTCATCTGTTGGACTCCCAAGCCCTGGTTTTCCCACTATACACCCTGCTTGTGGTCAAAATAGAGACCAAGGGAGCAGCCTTTGGGCCCCTGAAAGATGCTGTAGGTGGGGCAGTGTCTGAAAGATGGAACCATGTGAAGCAACCTCTTCCTGAATTCTGCCAGACTAGCAGGGACAGGCTGACTTGACATCTACCCCTGAGACTGTTCTAGAAGGGAGTGGGAGGGACCCAGGACTAAGCCATTCTTCTAGGAAGCTCTGTTTCAGGACCAGGTGCCTAAGCCACATGCCTGGGTAACCTTGAAGGTTCCAAAGCGTCCACTCTCACCAGGCTGCTGCTTCCCACCTCCTAGGAAGCTCTGACTATGGACAGAGGGCAGGACATGAGTGACAACCTCTTGGTGGGCAGGCTCTAGGATGGGGAACTCAGGCCAGGAGGGCACCCACACCACAGGACCTCCCCAGCATTCCAAAATGCTCTGAATTGGATCAAGGGGACTCCATCAAGCAATAGGGCCCTTACTTACCCTGAATGGGTGATTCAGGACCTGAAGGTGAGATGTCCACAGCGGGGTTCAAGTACACGTGCAGGTGAAACAGCCCTTCCTCCTTAGCTAATGGCAAGCCACCTCCCCCAGCACAGTGTAAATAAGAAAAACCATGTGCCCATTGGGTGGGCATTTGACAGCTCTCAGAAGTTCCCATGAGGGGCTTCTCCTGTGTTCCAGAGGCCCTGACCAACTAGACCCCAAAATGCTCCTGGAGTGTCCAAATTCATTCCAGAACTTGGCTGAAGAGCAAAGCAAATAAGCCTTGATTTCTGGTCACATATGGTCTCATCCCAAGGGCCTATGGGTGCCAAGAGGGGCCAGGATGTCTTCTTCATGGGGGTGAGAACAGGGAAGCCAGGCGCCAGCTGGAATGACAGCTATGTGCACATCTCTATGCTGCTCTGCCCTGGGAGATGCAGGGTGAAGGGTTCCAGAGAAGAGAAGAAGATGAATAACTTTCCTAATGAACTTTGTTCCATTTGGCCTGGCCCTGGCTCTTGACAAGGGTTGAGATTGGAACTCTGTCTTCAAAAAGATTGCCATCCCAGCTTGCTTCGAGATGTTGGCAAACTTAAGCCCTAGAAGGAGCGGTTCTTAACACAAAGTCCCTGTGTACAACCTGCTTTCAAAAAGTGATGGGCTGAGGGGTAAAGAAAACACTTTTCTTTTGCTTTATTTAGGGAACAATATTTTAGAGGTGAGGGAGGGACAGGGATAAAGTCATACTCCACAGCAGATCCCCCCAGTGCCTGGGGGCAGGTCTATTCCAATGGTCCCCCTTCAGGATGCTGGGTCAGGCGTTTGTAGACAAGTCAGCATCCCCAGAAGTGAATCCGAAAGGAACTGAAAGAAAGAATTCTATGAAGTACCTAGAGCCTATAGTTCTAAGGGGCCCACTGACTCTGGGCTCACCCCAGAGTCCTGTAGGTCCCCACCCTGGCCCATCTCTCATGTCCCTTTCTCTGGGAAGTGGTCCAAACCAACACAAACCCTTCCTTAAACTTTTATTTATTATTATTTTTAAAAAAAATTTCAGCATCACAAAAATGCAATGTTTGTCAGAACCTTGTGGTGCTAGACCCAATGGAAAGAGATGAGGTTGATTCAGAGAGAAATGCAAGGCAGATAGGATCCCAGCTTCAATGCTGGGCTGTTGTGGAGGAAGAGAAATTACCTTTGGTTGGGGTGGTTCCAAGTGTGGACCCTCAAAGGGTCACCAGACACAGCCATGTTGGAGTGGGGAGCCCTCATCTCCTTCCAAGTGATTGGAGGAGGAGTGAGCCCCTGACCTAGCTGGCCAGCTGGATTCCCCCTCTCTGGGAATTCAGAGTCAGAGCTGAGACATTACTTAGGAGTCAATGAAGGTCACTGATCATCAAAGAGATGTAAACTGATCACTATAGGGAGGAGGCCATGATGGTCTTGTGTCCAGCAGAGATTGCTGGTTTGTAGTGTAAAGCTAAGGGTGGAGAATGAGGAAGGGAAAAGAGATGACATGGAGAGAGGTGTGAGGGAGGGAGAAGGAGGAATGGGGGGGGGGCGGGAAGAGAGAGAGAGAGAGAGAGGAGACACTCCTCTCAAGTGCTCACTGGGACCCAACTCTATTTTTTTGGGGGTTACTTTCTTATCCATCTCCTTGCTTTTAAAATCTCCTAGCCTGTGAGACCAAGGGGCAGAATAAGAGAAGGCATAGAAGACACCTGTCAGCAGATGTCATCTCAGCACAAGGAAGGCCCTCTCACAGGTCTTCCATCAAGGCATGGGCTACCTTTAGAGGGAGTGCATTTCCTGTAAGTGGAAGGATATAGAAGACTGCTGAACATGGCCAGGGAAATATGGAGACGGCCAATCATCTTGGCGCAGGACGAGGCAGGGGAGACCTGGACCAGAGAAGACCATTAAGGCCCCTTCTACTCTTAGAAGTAGGACTGGTTGCTTCTCTTAAGTTTCTTTTCTTCTGTAAGTTCTACCATGAACCAGCACGCCCGCATTCCTGTGCAAATCCCCAGCTCCCAGTGATCATTGGGGAGCTGAGATGCTCCAATGGCCAAAAGGAAATTGGGGGGCCCTTCTCCAGAACTCCTTACTTCATGAAATCTGGAGACTTGGCCATTGCATGTTCAAACTCTGAGAAGGACAGCATGTTGTCATTGTCCAGATCTGACTCCCTCAGGACCTGGCCAGAGAAAGGACACTGAGAGGAGCCTAGTGTCAGACCATGGGATGGGGCTCTGTGGGGAAAGAGAGCTGTCGCACACCAAGGGACTATGTATACCAGGATCTTTGCCAGGTGCTTAATACCTGTCTCCCAGGGCCTTTGGCCCTGAAAACCCAAGACAGGACCCATGCGTTCATAAACCATGGAAGACTTCAAGTGTTTCTGGTCTGATTAGGAACTAGAAGGAGCAAGAGAACCAAGAGTACTGCTGAGAGGCTCAATGCTGTCCCCTGCCTATGACTGGGTGATGGAGCAAGTGGAGGCACACCATCCTCACCACCACATTGATGCTGGGGCCCAGGGAGAATCTTCTCAGAGTGACAGTGAGCCCATGAGGCCCCAACCTTAGCACACACTTTCATTCGTGTGTGTGTGTGTGTGTGTGTGTGTGTGTAGGAAATGATGAGAACCTGCCTCACAAGCAGCTAAACTGCTGCAGGCCCACTTGTCTGCAGTGAACCTTGTGGGTAGATTGTGTGCCCTGCTCTGGGATCCCTGGCAGGGTCTTGGAGGAAGGACAGAAAGTTGAGGGGCAGTTGTCTCAGTTCTATATCCCCTTCTCAGGGCACCTTGTGTTGCCAATCCCTGTGGAGGCTTTTGGGGAATATGTGGCCCAAAAGCCAACATGCCATCTGCTCCAGGCTTGACCTGGATCTCCTCCCAGGAAGATGGACTGACATCTAGGGGATTTGGTGATGATCTGGCCCTTCGGCCCTACCCTTCAACCCCCAGGTACACACGTGGTGTGTAAGGTCCATCAGGAGGTCCTCAGACACGTCATCACTGTTCATCAGTCGTAGCACAATCTTCTGCAGATCCTCCTCATCGATGAAGCCATTCTCATTAAAATCTGCAAAAAGGAAGCAGGAATTGGGAGCTATCAGCCTCTGGGATGCCGAACAGGGTCCAGCTGTGCCAAGCAGGTCTGCAGTAGGGCAGGTCACAGAAGAATGAAGTGCCAAATAAGATGGCAAAAGTTATGCTCAGACCTGTCCTTAGAATTTGCTTATTTTAAATCATTGAATCTTTACACAGTCAACTTGTCATTAGTCTTCTTTTACCAAGAGGAAATGGAGGCTCAGAGGTGTCACATGGTTTGTCCACGCTGCCAGGAAGTGGAAGAGCACAGATTCAAACTCAGTAAAGTTGATCCCTGAGCCCCAAGTCAACCACCATGCTATGGAAATGATCTTGAAACTCAGAAGCCATGGTCTTTTGATGGCAGCCTGGATTTGGATTTGGAGGGAGAAGACCTGGGCACCAGCCCTGCTTCTGTCCTTGTGCAGTAGCTGTGTGAGTGACCTAGACATGTGTACCTGCTTTCTCAAGGAAGTGGGGACAGTGACTCTTGCAGCCTGTGCCATTGGGGGTGCTGACTTCAAGAACTCTGACTGTGCTCTCAAAGAGACAGGCCCGGAGGCAATACTCCCTCCAGTCCCATGTCCCTAACTCTGAGAACAGAGCCTAGAACAGAGCAGAGTCTCAAAGAATAATTACTGAAGTGAATGAATGAGTACCCAAGGTCACACCTTGGTAAGTGAGGGAGATGTTCTAAACCTGAAGGGGGCGCTGTTTCTCATGCTCCCTCCCTTGCTGGAGCAAGGTTTTCTCTCTCGCTCCTTGGTTATTACTGGACCTAACTGGGCTTAACTGGGGGGCAACTGGAGATTTTAGAAAAGATACAGGATAGACAGACAAAGAAATTTGGGGTCAGTGTGTTGTATGCTTGGCTGGAGCTGCACAACCCTCATTGCTTCTTTTTTCTATCTTGATTCTTTAAGGCCTTACTCCTTGTAGTTCTTTAAAACCTTGCTTAAAACCTCTTTCCTTAGGCTCGCACTGTCCCATGTTTGCTCTTAGCTTATCTTTAGCTTAATTGCTCTTAAAGTCTTTTGTCCGCAGGCTTGCACTGTCCCATCTCTCTTTAGCTCTCTCAAAACCTCGGCCCTCAAACTTGCAAATAGCCTCCCACCTGCACATGCATAACTCTTAAGGTCTCAGTCCTTAGACTTGCCCTGTACACTGTCCTGTGTTCTCTTTGGCTTTTCTTTAGTTTTAGCTTTCCTAAGGCCTATGTATGAAGTTCTTTCTTAGCTTTGCTTTCTGAAGACTATGTTGAAGTTCTCGGTGCAGACTTTCTATCAACCCCTCTTTAGCATTTTCCCTTCAACAATTCTTTTCCCTTCCAAAAGTTTCCCACACTAAAAGGCCCAAAGTAAAACTGCAAAAGCCCAAAAAGCCCCTCTTCTTCCTTCAGGGGTCTTTTATAGCAGCAAACAGGGTGGAGCCATGGGGAGGGGCGTGACATTATAACAGAAGAAACCTCCGTTCCTGCTTCTCTGAACACAACTTAGGAGACGCAGCTGTTCTGCTTTTCCCTGTTTTGTGGCCGGGGCTGTGCCTATCTTGGCCTACAGGTAAAAGCAATTAACTGTATCTTGCCTTGTTTGTGTCCAGTTCTTATAGGCTTTAATCTGCTCCCCACATAAACCCAGGCAACTGGTGTCTATAGGGAGTCTATGCTCCTCACCATGCATATTTACCTTTATTGCAATAAAATGCCACTCTTTAGCTGGACAGAGGCTCATCCAAAATGAATACTACACTTCCTAGCCTCCCTTGCTGCTAGATGTGGCCATGTGACTAAGTTCTGCTAAATCCTTAAGGACAGATGTAAGCAGAAGAGGAACAGGCCATTTCTAGGAAGGTCTTTAAAGAGAAACATTTTCTCTGGGACTATGAGGTGATCTGGGACTATAGGATAAAGCAAGTAGGAGGAACCTGGGTCCCTGATCCTGGAACTTTACAACCACTGTGGACAACTGCCTCTGAGTGTCTACACGCTAGAGGTGTAAGTACAGAGCTTCCTGCCATCTTGCAAACTATTTTGCTTAAGTCACTGTTATTTGAAGTTCCTTGTGATCAGCCACTGAATTGAATCCTAATTCATTATCTGAGCCTCAGTTTCCCTATCTGTAAAATGGAAATAATAGCAGTACCTCCACAGAATGAAGGTTAAATAGGAAAATACATGGCCATCATGTGGCACGGGGTCTTGAATATAGAAGAGGCTCTGTATAGAAGATGTTGTTAGATATGGAATGTGTTCAATTCTCCACCACTTACTGATTGTTAAATACTAAACATGCAAGCTTTAAGGACTGTATAATGTCCCACCTTTAAGAATGGGAGCTAGCTGGTGGCTCACATCTGTAATCCTAGCTTCTTGGGAGGCAGAGATCAGGAGGATTGAGGTTCAAGGCCAGCCTGGGCAGGGAAATCACGAGCTCATTTCAATCAATGGTTGAGTGTGGTGGCAGGAAGCAGAAAATAAGATCATGGTTCAGGCAGGCCTGGGCAAAAAGTAAGACTCTATCTCTAAAATAACCAGAGCAAAAAGGGCTGGAAAAATGGCTCAAGTCATAGAATGCCTGCCTCAAAAGTGCGAGGTTCTGAGCTCGACCTGCGGTACCATAAAAAAAAAAAAAAAAAGCAGGGGGAACTAGAACTAATTGTGCTATTAGTTCAGTGTTTGCTGATGTCACAGGATCCTCCAGTGGCAGAGCCAAGACCTGTCTGTACCCAGAGGCAGGAAGTGAGTATGGAAGGTACAAGTTACTTCCTGGCTCCTTAAGCAGAGCCTTTCCCTTGGCTGGATGTCCTCAGTCCCAGGGACTAAGGACTGAGACCAGGACACTCCTGAGTGCTCCCTCTACCCAGCTATGCCATCAACACCTGGGAAGTGACTCGGAGCAGGTGAAAGGGGCATAGGGACCTGGAGGCACTGGGCAGCTGCAGTGACAAGTGCTGCTGGTGAGAAATTCTGCTTTTCCAGAAGACCCCACAGTGTCCCCAGGCAGCCTGCTGGCCCAGTTCCATATGCAGAGACTGCAGCAAATGACATGGCTTTGGTCCTATGCCATCTGGAAGCAGAATAATTTGCTTGAGTAAATGCAGTCCTGGACAGTTCCTCCCCTTTGGGGGTGTGAGGGCAGAGCAGCCTGGGAAAGGGCTGGGGCCTGGGAGTCTGGGCTGCTGGCTGGGTCCCAGCTCATGCTGCTCCAGCAGCCTCAGGACCTGCAGCCTGAAACCACTTGGAATGAGGTGGGGGCCTTCCTGTAGCTATTTCCCAACAATGGGAAGCTTAGAGAAGCTGGGGCAGTTAGGGCTCAGCCTTAGGCCTCTCCAAGAGACTCTTCTCGTCATCATCCAGTATCTCTGTCATTCTTACATCTTGCAATTTACAAAGTACTGTTATAAAAATCAGCCTGTGTTTGAGGGAGGGAGGGCATGCTTTCACTGTGGTTCCATGAGAACTGAGTGTCCCTGGGGCTGTGTCTGGTCCAGGAAAGGTGAGGCAAGATGAGCCACAGGTGTTCCACCGAGGAGAATCAGTTGTTGGTGGAGACTGTGTTGACAGGGAAAGGAAGATATGGCTGGAATGTGGGAAATCTCCCCAGAGATGCAGGACATGGGGGAGAGACTGGCTGGATGCAATCCTAACTGATGTAGTGGGCTGGAGCAACAGCTCTCAAACTCTGCTGTATGTTAGAAACACCCAGGGAGCTTTGCAAATGCCCAAGAGCCAAGAGATACTCAATACCATTACATCAAGTCTCTGGATCTGGGGCCCAAGCATCTGGGTTCTTGGTTTGTTTTGTTTTATTAACTCCCAGGCGATTCTAGTGTGCAGTCAAGTTTGAGCACCAGTGGGCTACGGCCATGCATCTTAGACTCTTAGGGGAAGAGGAATCTGAGGGAATCTTGCTAAAATGCAGATTCTGATTCAGTAGGGGTGGGGGAGGCATGAGGGTCCACATGACTCGTAAACCTCCTGATGGTGCTGATGCTCCCGGTCCATGGGCCACATTTGGAGTCACCAGGTGTGAGACTATTGAATTAGGCCTTTGGACTTTTGCTCAGAATCATCCCCATCACTGTTACCGTGATATCTCACTTTCGTTTGTCTTCTCTCCTTTTTATTCCTAGTCTTCTTTTATTGTGGAATACTACCTCCTGGACTTAATGAGCAGCTTCCACATGCCAAGTACCAGGCACAGGGATCCTGAGTCCCATCTCTAATGGAGCTGACAGCTGTGTGAGGCCATAAATCTTCAGAGCTCAACGTGAATTCAGATTTGGCTGGGTACATCTGATGGAGCCTGGCATTATGAGTCCCTGGGCATCTATTTACACAGATGATTTGCATGGAGGCATTGAGCTTTTGGGTTTGGGTCTTGGACTCCAACGGGGAGGGAAAACGGTTGCTGGTGGAGGCTGGAGAGCAATGGAGGAATTTAGAGGCACTCTGGAGAACAAAGTGGTTTCTGGTCTCTGACTTGATCACAAACACACAGTCTGACCTTTCAGGAGGCATTCTCACTATTTTGGAGCCTAGAGAAACCTGTGGCTCTTCTACCCCCGATGGCTTGGGGGATTTGTTTCTTTGGCTCTGGAAAGGATGGAAAGACAGTGGAGAAGGCATCTTTTAGGACATCTACCCTGTCCACACTTTCCTATCTCTGAGAGGCATACCCATCCCCAAGACCTTGGCTTCTGGAGCTAGGTTTGCTCATGTGACCCTGCTTCTTCTTAACTGCAGGTCACTGGGCAAGGCTGGTCACCAAACCCAGGGCAGCAAATCATTTGTCTGATCCAATTAGTACCTGCTAAGAAATGAAAAAGGAAGAAAGAGGCACTTGTGGCTAAACAGAGTAGAACCTGCAGGCCACACAGGGACTAGGATTGCCATCTTCAGGCCATGGGCACAGAGTCATAAAAATCAGATCTGAGCAAGAGTAGGATCACAGACAGAGGCACAGGTGAGAGATACAGAGAAGAAACTGGCTGGCTGACTTCCTGACCACTTTCTGGCTATATCCAAGGACCTGGGGAAGCCTGCTTCACTTCTTCCATGGTATCCATACTGCTGGTAGGGTGCCCTTGCCTCCCATGAGTCATATCTCTTGGTGTTCACGCCTTTGTGTAACCCCCACCCCTCTTTTGTGTGTGTGTGAGCTGTGACTTGCTTCTAACCAACAGAATTGGGCAACTGGAGGAGTGTCACTTTCATGATCACATTATGTTATACATGACTCCATTCTTACAGCAGAGTGATTTGAGGGACAAGCTCTCTCACTGCCTTTGAAGAAGCAAGTGGCCATATTGGGAGGCCCATGTGTCAAGGAGTTGAGGGCAGTCTCTGGAAGCTGAGGAGCCTCCAGCTAACAGCCAACAAGATGCAAGGACCCCAAGTCCTATATGGTCTCAAGGAAATGCATTCTGCCAATGAACAGGAGCTTGTAAATAGACCTTCTGCAGTCAAGTATTCTCCTGCTGAGAAGGCAGCCCAGCCTGCAGTTGTATGAAACCCTAAGAAAAGTGACCTAACTAAGCCATGCTGGATTCTTAACCCACAGACACTCTAAGATCATACACATGTGTCATCTAAAGCCTCTAAGCTTGCAGCAAGCACTTTATTACAAAACAATGGGAAACTAACATCCTGCTCTTCTTTATCGGTTGCCTTACACAGGTAAGTTCTGTGACTTGTATTCTGAATGCGTTGCCCTGAGACACAAGGGCCTAAGCTGCACCATCATTCTCCCAGAGGAACCGCCCTGGCCAAAAGAGCATGACAAGTGCTTGAGCCAGCACAGCTGCCACCGGTGGTGACAAAGAATAGCAGCAGCTAGTGAACCAGACTCCTGGGATACAATGAGAACTCCCTGAGGATCCCTGGAAATACTTGGGATGAGGAAGAGGGGAAGGCCAAGTGGACAGGTGGCGACTACAGAATTTGGGTATGTGATTTCATTTGTACTTATCCTGCTTGGAATTCACTATAAATTTGTGTCTTGTATCAAATTTAGGACATTAAGGGACATTACTTCTTCAACTATTTTTTCTCTGTTCAGGTATTTCTTCAGATTCAGATATTTGTTTGAAAAGATATTTGAAAAAGAAATATACAGTTTATCTTCAAGTATCTTTTATGCCCTTTCCTTCTGAGACCACAGTTGGATGTTTGTTAGACCTTGCTGTTATTGTCATGTGTCACTGAAGCTCTGTTCCTTAATTTTCTAAATAGTTGTTCTCTCTGTAATTCAGATTAGATTATTTCTATTATTTCTGCTAACCTATTGCCAAGTTTATTGACTCTTTCCTCTGTCATTGCAATTCTGCTAAGCCCACCCAGTGAATTTTTATTTCAGATACTTTGCTTTTCAGTTGTATGTCTTCCACTTAATCTTTTTTTAATAGCTTGTATTTTTCCAATGAGATTTCATAGCTTTTATTTATGAGCATATTTTCTTTTACTTCATTGAGCACAGTTATTGTGCTGGTTAATTTTATATGCCAGCTTGACTGGACTAAGGAAGGTCAGGTTATTTCTGGGTGTGTCTGTGAGGGTAGTTCCAGAATAGAATTGCATTTGAGTTGATGGACTGAGTAAAGATCAGACTCAACTATGTAGGTGGACATCACCCAATCCACTGAAGGCTAATAGGATAAAAAGATGGAGGAAATGGGAACTCTGTTTGAGTCAGGCCATTCATCTTTTCTTGTCCTCAGGCAGTTCTTGGGCTTTTGAACTGAGTGAAACCACCAGCTTTCCTAGTTGTCTCACTTAGATTGTGGGACTTCTTGATCACCATAGTCATAAAGTGTTAATTCCTACAATCAAAATTTCTCTCTCTCTCTCTGTCCATCTCCTTCCCTTCCCTTCTACTTCTCTCCCTCACTCTGCTATTGGTTCTGTTTCTCTGGAGAAACTGACTAATACAGTTATATTAAAAAAAATCTTTATCAGTTAATTCCAGTATCTGGGTCATGTCAGTCTCCCTTCTTGAGAATGCAGCAACATAAAAAAATTTATATATTGGGTAATTTGGGATATTACAATGTTTTATTGTGGAAATTCTGTGTTCTGTTATATTCCTCCAAAGGGTGCTGAAGTTTGGGTTTTAGCAGGCAATTTGTTGAACTCAGACTCCAAATCCTCTCACTCAGGGGCCTGGTTAGAATGTACTGGCAGCTCAATTCTCACTCCGGTTCTTCCATCACCCACTGCTTTGAGTCTGTCCTGGTATATATGGTTTACAGGTCAGAAAGAGATTTAGCTGTAGTTGTGAACAAAATTTGAACTCCTTTTCTCTGCTTATCTTCTTCCATGGAGTTGCCTGTTACTTTGCAAGGGCTCTATTGCCCCCAAACACTCTGGTTCTCCACGTCAGAAAGAGTTCAGGGTTTTGATCAGCCTGCATGATTCCACTCATTGGCATCTGAGGACAGGAGATGATGGGTGACCCAATTTAAACAGAAAGAGTGAGGCTGAAATGTGTGAGTCTGTGCAAGCCAAGTAGCTGTCATGATGCACTCAGAGCCTCGCACGTGTTCTGTTGGAAGGCATCTTAGAACCTCTTTGTTTCCTTCCTTTTGATTTCCTTCAAGTGTTCCAACTGTCCCAGATGCTAAGGGACACTTACCCCACGAATGGCAGAATTTTAGCAGAGCTTTATGACTCTCCCAAACACAACCAGACGCCAAAAAACGTCAAAGGATCTCAGAGATGATCTCTCTTAAGCCCTTCATTTTAAAGGTGAGAAAGTTGATCCCTATAAAAGTGAAGTGGTTTGGTCAAGATTGCTTGGACATTTAGTGGCTGAGCTGGTTCCAGTGTTAACTTCCTATCCAATCCTCCTTCTGCCAAAAAGCACAACCCCTTCATACTCATAGTCCCCTCTTTCTCTCTGACCTGCCCAGACACTGCCACCAAATATCAACACCAGTGCACCCATTGGCCTTGTGTGGCATGGAGGGGAGGGCGTCCATCTGGTAAAGTTGAGGCTCTCGGTCATTTTTGATATCCCACAGTACTTGAGAAACATGAAACATACCCATAAAGATTTAAGCAAACCCCAGTTATCACCATTCCATCAATGAACTGAGGTGACTGGGTTTCAGATGTGGAAGGTATTCTATGGCCCTTCCCCTCCCCTCTCAGTCCCCCACTGCACCCACCATATATGCGAAAGGCGTACTCGATCTTCAGGCTGGGACATGCCTGCTCGCTGAACACAGATGCCATGCCCAGCACATCCTCGAAGGAGAACATGTTGTTGTGGGAGAACACCCTGCAGATGCGGTCTCTGAAAGGGTTCACCTGTAGGCAGGAGGAGGAGAAAGAAGGACTAGGGCTATCAGGATCAGGGTGGTGCCTTCCTGAACCTTGGTCATCTCTCACAAGCTATATGTTCTGGGTTGAGCAGAAAACAGCATCAACCTAAATAAATATTGGAGTGGAGGCTGGCTCAGTGAGCCAGGACCCTAGGCATGATGGGGGGTACGGGGGTGGAGGGCCTTGCTTGACATCCCTGCTCAATACCATCTCCTCCTGCACACAGTCCAGTGGCTTATATTTTGTGGTTGAATTTTCCTCCATTTTATGTAGAAAGCTTGGAAAATAAAAGGAGTATAAAGAATAGGACAAAAAACATCAGTAATTAACTCCCCGGAGTTAACCACTGTCAACAGACTGATGTAGAAGTCACACAAACCTGGGTCTCAGTCCTGGCTTCACTATTTTCTAGGGAGTGGCCTTAGCTTAGACAAACTGCATATCTCCCAGAGCCCAAGGCTTCTCATCAAGACAGAATGGGATAATAGTTGTATCTACCTAATAGGATCATTGCGAGGATCAAGCAGGGCAGATTTAAAGTTGCCCTGCCTGATAAATGGGGCACTTAATGAATAAGAATTATGAGTTATTACCCACTACCATAGGTGTTATAATTGACATAGCAATTTTCATTTTAAAACTAAACTATTCCTCAAATTAGGTTCCTGAGTTGGTGATATAACTCAGCAGTAGAGTGCTTGCCTAGCATGCTGGAGGCCCTGGGTTTGATCCCCAGCACTGGGGCCAGGGGGGAGAATCAAATTAGGGTTCCAAATAATTTTAGAAATCCTTGTTCCTCTAACCTGGGCCTGCTTAGGGTCACATGTAGCATGTGAGAGCCTTCTATGCTAGCATCTCTTGTTCTAGGCATGTGACAACCTGGCTACCTCCTCCTTGCCAGCTCAGATACACCTTGCTAGGGTTGCTTGCTTCTCTCTTTCCAGACCCCAGAAATGGGAGGGCTGAGTGGGCTTGGGGGTGGAGGAGGTGGGCAGATCTATTAGGCTTGTTATAGTTTGGATCTTAAAAGTCTCCCAAAGGCCTCTGTGTTGAAAGTTTGCTCCTCAGTTTACCACTATCAGGAGATGGTGGAAACTTTAAGAGATAGGGCCCAGTGAAAGGTGTCAGGACCTCCAAGAGGGTAGTGGAGTCTAGTTCCTTCTTATTGCTATTTGCTTCCAGGCTGTGTGAAGTGAGCAGCTTCCTCCTCATGTCTCCCACCATGATGTGCTGCCTCGCCATAAGCTCCAAAGCAAGGGGCCGATGGAACATGGACTAAAACCTACCATAAATATGAGTCAAAATAAAATTTGCTTTTTTAAAAGTTGATTATCTCAAGTATTCTGTTACAGAAAGCTGACTAGCACAAGGTTCAAAGGGGAACTGCATGGAATAAGCTTGTAAATCTTTAAAAGTACCAAGTTCATCTTTAGCACACACCATTCCTCAATCTCTACCCTCCTAATCTATTCCCACTTCCAAGGACTCCTTTCCCTAGATGCTCAGGGGCAGCTTTTGTCTGTTTTAAAGTTGTACTGCCTGCCAGCTGACCTTAACAGACCCTAACTCTGTTTTTGTGCTCCAAAATGACCCCAAAACCTTCCTCAAGCCAACCCAAATCCCCTTTCCTTATATGTACTTCAGCTCGGAAAGTCATTTCACCCCATCAGTTCACACAGCAGATTTGAATAGCCAATAGTTCCTCAGTCTTCCAAATTTCTAATTAGTTGAAGCAACTCTCTGGCTGATTTTTCTGCCTTCCTTTCCTCTGACAAGCTATCTCTTCAGGGCTCCAGGCTTCATGCAGAAGGGTTGGCCCCAGCTCCTTTGCTAGGCCTATCTCCTGGCTTGGCACCTGGCCCCAGCCAGCTCCTGGGGTCTATACCCTTGCCTAACCCTCCTTTGGGTTGCCTTGGCATCAGCCATGCTTAGCTCTCTACCTTGGATTTCTCCATTTTTGGCATGTAAAAACTTTTCTTTCATTCCCCTAGAACTCAGCTACATATTCAAATGTATAGTTTTATTTTTTTCAGTGTTTCTATATATTTGAGGTGAGACAGGGGTCATGTGTGACTTCAGGTGGTCATGTGGTTCTCAAACTTTAGTGAGCATACAAGTTACTTGGGTACTTCTTAAAACCATGAATTCATGTTCAACAGATAAGATGTTCCAACCATGCTTTCTAGAGATCTGCTGTATGACACTGTGCATAGTTCCCAATTCTGTATTACACTTGAAAATTTGTTAAGAGGGTAGATCTCATGGTAAATGTTCTTACCACAATTTGTTTTTAAAAAATTGCAAAGAAAGAATGTGCTCATCATACTGTGTTGTGTGCATGGTACACACTGTATAAATAGAGAGAGAGAGTGACAGAGAGAGAGAGAGAGAGAGAGAGAGATCAAAGCTCTCACCTTCAGAAAGCCTGAATTAGAGGTTCTGGAGTATAGGCCAGTATTATGTTGTTATTGAGTCATGTCCCCTCCAAAAGTCATATGTTGATGTCCACAGAACCTCAGAATGTGACTTTATTTGGAAGTAGAGTTGTAGGATATAATCACTAGCTTAAGGTGAGGTCATATGAAGAAGGGTAGATAGATGCTAATCCAACACAACTGCTGTCCTTATAAAAAGGGGAAATTAGGACACAGAGACACAGAGTCAGAGAGAACGCCATGTGAAGATGAAGGCAGATATCAGAGTGATGCTTCAACAAGCCAAGGAACACCAAAGATTGCCAGCAAACCACCAGAAGCTGGAGACAGCCCTGGAACAGTTCCTTCCCTCTTAGTCCTCAGAAGGAACCAACCTTGTCCACACTTTGAGCTTGGACTTCTAGCCTCCCAAGTAATGAGACAATAAATTCTTGTTGTTTAAGCCACATGGTGTGTTGTACTTTGTTATGGTAACATCAGTAAACTAACACACCCAGCAATCATTCCAGATGATGGGGGTCATTATATAATTACATACATATAAATATTGTTATATATAATTTCATGGTATGTATACGCATCTCAAATATTTGGTCCAGGAGTGACCAGAGGAATCAGACCGACCCACTATACTATACAGACAGGCTCCCCTCTGTCTGATTTGGCCATCCTCAGACATGCATGGTTTGGCTGTCTCCAATTAACGCTTATCTACTGTACTGTGTTCCAGGTCACATGTACCTGACTAAGTAGCTTTACAGATTACATGAACAAATTTTAACTATGTTAACTCTTTTCACAAATGGATCTCTGGCTTAATGATATTCCTGCAAGAAACCACAATTGGAGGTAACATTTGTAATGCAAATGCAAGTGAACAGCAAGAAAATGGCTGTGCTGATTCCTCTCCTACTAAAATACAGTTCTCCACAAGGGAGAAGCTGGGACAACCCAGTCAACCATAACAAGAGCTCCCACAGCTGTTCTCTGTGCTTGTGCTGAGACAGGTGCCAGGCAGATCAGCAGGCTCATAGAGATCCCAGCCAGCCAGTGAGATCCCAATCTTCCTTCCCCAGAGCTCCTCTACTGCTGGCTTCACTGGTAGTGAAGGGAGGGAGGCGGGTGCCCAGAGGCCACTCCTCTTCCACCCATCTCAGGTGACTCTTATCTACACACACACACACACACACACACACACACACACACGCACACGCACACGCACATGCACACACACCCCTTGTCTTACAGAGGCAGTTGGTGTTATAGCCTGTGGCAGCAAGGACAGTACACACAAGACAATACTGGAAGATGTAGAGAAAATATTGCTGAAGATGCAGAAGAATAAGCATTAGGACAGATTTCACACTGTAGAAGCTTTGCTGAATAGTTAATTAAAGGTACAGCTTGGATTTTTGTAATCTTAGCTACTAAGGAGGCAGAGGGACAAAGATAACTTGATTTTCCTAGATGTTTGAAGAACAACACTAAAGAAAAAGATGGTATAGAATGAAAAGTAAATGGCTTCTTTAATAAAAACACTATTTATGGGGAAAATCCAGTGTGACCCATTGATGGGGAGGCTTCCCTATGGCAAAAAGAGGGGGCCCCAAATATGAAACTGATTCCCTTGTGAGACTTCTGCAGCTGCTATAGTCAGGACAGTAAATTCCAAAGTACAGAAAGGGCAGCAGATCACACTCTTTGGGTTACTTTTTTTTTTTTAAGACTTGAACATGCAACAAAACTGATATCGTATTTGTAACCAGAAGGGAAGTGAGCATGGAAACCTTTTGAGGCATATAGGTGTTCATATTTGCTGGTTATCTCTTGGCAAATCTTTTAACAGAGCCATCAAACTTAAAGATGAGTCATATATGATTTTCCTGCACAGAAAAACCAAATGCTCTGTGTTTGTGACCTTCTGATGATGAAAAGTGGTGGTTGACAGTTTGCTGCTTTTTATTTTGTTAAATCATTTTGCTAGCAAAATTTTCGTTACTTGTTATGTATACATATAACAAATTACATATGTAACAAATTTGCTGTTCACCAGAAAATGAACTGAGACTCTTGACTCTTCAGGATAAATCAGGTGACTCATTTTAACATTGTTGCTTTCCCAAAGAAACTAATGTTTAGAGATTATTTTGAATATGATATTTTTTGATGTTAAAAACATGTGGTATCACCTATAAAAATGTTTACATGTGTATGCCTCCAAATATTAGAAACAGATTTTTTTCTAGCTTGTTTGAAATTTGTCCAAATAAAGAGTGTCAGTGGATTTTGAGTTTGTTTGTTAAAGTATATATATATATATATATATACAAATGCAGTGCTTTCCAAATAGCTTGTAAGAACCACTGACTGAGATAAAGGAAGACAGACAATTCCTAACTTACTTTCACTAGAAAACCTTTTGTTGGTGAAAGTAGATGAAAATGAGTATATAATTTAGTTAATACATGCAGCCCAAGATATAGCTTTTCTCTTGGATCAGTTGACACCTGTTAAAAATAAAAAACTATCCATATCCCTTAAATATGTACA